TAAAACCCAAATTCAAGCCAATTCAGGGGTTTTGATGGAATTCAAGGTAAGTTAAAATTACTTGAATTTTATTTCGTTTTTTTCGTTTTGTGAAGGAATTTCTGGGTTTTTTTCGTTTTTTTTAAAAATTATTTCGACTTCCTTCGTTTTTTTTTTGGGTGGTTTTTTGATATTTTTTTGGGGTGGTTTAGGTGGTGGTTTGGGAGGGTGTGGAATGGCGAGGGGGGGTGGTGCTAGATGGTTTGCAGATCTGGTGAGGTGGGTGGTGGTATTTGGGTGGTTGGGAGGGTATACGGGTTAGGGTGGTGTGGGAAAAGGGGTTTAACGTGGTGGTGGTGGGTGGTGTGGGCTGGTGGCGGGAGTGGATGTAGGTTGGGTAAAGGTTACGGGGTGGTGGGGCCTTTTTTTATTTACTTTTCTGACGGATATTTTCCGATGGAAATTTCTGTCGGAACATCTCCTACTCCGACGGAATTTCAATGAAAATCAACAAAACCGCCGACAGAAATAAATCCGTCGGAATGGACCTTTCCGACGGAAATTCCCTCGAAATATAGCCAAATTCCTACAAAATATAATGCGACGGTGCCTTCCGTCGGAAACCGTCATTTCCGACGGAATTTCAGGATATTCCGAGGGATTATATCCGTCGTTGATTAGGCGTTTTCTAGTAGTGAATTCGTTTAGGGTGGCTTTAAGGGTGATGTTCGTTTAACGTTAGGGGTACGGTGCCGGTTTTGGGTGGGGGAAGAAACATGGTTGTCGGCGTCGGGAAATTGCCAGCGGAGGCGAAAAGAGGGGAGGGCATAATGTGAAATTGAGGGGAAGAGAGAAAGAGAGTGAGAAGATAGGTTGAAAGGAAGGAGGCATTTGAGGAGGGAGGTGGGCAACGTGGGTAGGGGATGGAAAGGGAGGGTGATGGGGTCGCCGGTGCCGGGGGATGCGGTTGCCGGCAGCCGACACGGGGAGGGGGAAAGGGTGGCTAACGGGATGGAGTGGCTGAGATTTTTTATTTTATTTTTTTTAAAGCTTTTTATTTTTTTTAAGTTTTTATTTGTTTTTTTAATAAATTAAATCATTATTTAATGAGATAATGGGGCCCCACTTAACGGAACCCTAACGGTTTCTGTTAAGTGGTAGCAAAAGTTATATGCTGTAACTTTTGATGGTAGCAAAATAAAATTTTACTTGGATAGCAAAAGTGAAATAGGGGTGTTTGAATGGTAGAAAAAGTGAAAATTTCCTTAATATGAGTATAGAAACTATAAGTCAAGCAAATATAGCCAAACAACATACATAGTCTTCCAAGTATATAATAAACAACGTAGTTCAAGTTTGACCAAATTAAGGCAATCAAAATTTCAAATGTACCACTAGTCTTCCAATTAATAATACTTGTCTAACATGGTGTGCTCAAGGCTTACGAAGCTCATTGTTGACAGCATTAGTCAAGAGAACCCAAAGTAGCTGTACATGTACAAAACAATACACTTTTCCTAAAAAAAGAAAAATATACAAAACAATACACTTCCTAGATATCGGGAAATTTCTAATAAAGATTTTGACTGAACAATGTCGCCGTCGTCAACACCGGAGGCATCCAGTGACACAACAAAAGTGGTCGTAGCACCAGTTTATCCACCATGGCGGGAATTTTGGGACAGCCATTCATTCTCTCTTCCAGCCTGTCCCCTCGACGCCGCAAGTCGGCTGCAACAAAACTTAACTCACTTCCATGTCAACTACTTACTCCTCATTTTCAACATCACCGTCTTCTACGTAGCCTTCATCACAACCCCAATCGTGTATATCTTTATCGCATTGGCCGCTTTTTTAGCGTCCTGTTTCTTCTACAAGAGGTACTTTCATCCAGAACCTTCCGATCTTGAGCGGCCTCACCCAAAACCCTCTAGTATTTTACTTGTAGTTATTGTAATGGCCAATATTTCATCATTATTGTGCCTTGGGCTTCCATGGACTTATCCGGTGTGCTTGCTTGTGACTTTCGCCATGGTTGTTTGCTTGCATGGTATGCTTAGAGTTCCCATTTATGATCAATATCAAGGTTTACTTGACGCACAACTTCAATCTCAACCTCCTCAGGTTGATGTTTAATGTTTTGGGAAAAAGAAATTAAGCCGCTCCTTGTAAGATGTACAACTACATATTGTATTGGATATTTTTCGATCGAACAAGGTTAGTTCTTCCAAAATACGGAGTATGATTTGGGTTATATCATCTGGATGTTTGGGTAAGTAATTACTCTCAGTATAATTCAAAGTTCATGTAAAATAACCAAATTAAAGAGGTTAATTTGGCGTCGTAGCTGTATTTCATTGTTAATTTGTTATTACTTGTTCCGCTTTTTCATACTTCTAAACGCATTGGGGGTTCATACTTATGTTTTCTTCAGAAAATATGGAATATAGAAATTGAAAAGGTCATGGACTAAGGTCATGTAAATCAAGGCAAGTCTTTGTAACTCTTTAATCGGAAATAAATTTAACATCACACTAGCAAACATTATAAAAGTTAAATATTAATAATGTATTGATCAAGATGAATCAAACAAGACCCCATATAATTAAGTACAGTTTGTTTTTATAGATTGAGAGAAGTTTAGAAGATTCACTTTCATTTTTTATAGTTAAAAGATTTCAAATGTGAATATCATTGTAAAACACAAGGAGTATGAATTTGGAAATATATGTCAAAATCATATGATGTTGATCGGTGTATTTAATGTTTATTTTAATCTAATTTTTGTACATTCAGTTATCTTATTTTGCACCCCCGGAACGTTCATTAATTAGCTTTTTCCATAATAATGTCTAATGCATGTTAGGATATATTTTCGTATGATCGATTAATTTAATTAACATGATATCTTAATCACCCAATCCTTTCTGATTCATCCAATGAATAATGAATGATACGTCGTATTAGAGTATTGAGTACGTGTAACAAGTAGTATGGCAAGGTTATCTTATAAATTAGTAACTAGTGAGTAGCCCGGGCGTAGCCCCGGGTTGCTACTTTTGTAATCGTGCAATTGGGATTAAGGATTTTGAAATCTGAAATCGCTATTATTGAATGTGTTCTTTTTTAATAATTAAATCATGTTGTTTACACTTATGTACATTTCTTTTTCATATTTATAACATGCTTGATAATGGGCTAAGATAGTTAGATAACCAACTTTGCTATAAGTGGTTGGTCTTTCAGAACTCAAAGTTGAGAAATACACAAAAAACTCTTAGATTTCTGAATAATCACTCAGCTAATGTCATCATGGCTAGGAAATAACCTAGGAGCGAGTATTTATAATATCCCCTAAACTAGGAAAGATAGACTTTAATTAAGGAAATAAAGCCCACAAACAAACTGACTAAAATCGGCCAAAAACCCCGGGCATGGGCATGCCCCTTGATCAGTTGTAAAATAGGAACTTGAACTCGGAATGACATGGGCAGATCGCACACGACATGGGTGTGCTACCCCTATGATGCACGGCATAATCAACCATAGTCGTTGATTCTAATTCTAGTCCTATTTGATAAGGAAGGTTAATTGGTTGGGGGCTAAAGCCCACATATATGGTGCATATTGACTATTTTTTTTTTTTGTTTCATATGAGCCACTAATATATAGAGTTAGGCTTAATGTAGTAGTTATGATTATCCGATGTGGTGGAGAATGATGAGGAGTTGTAACCCAAGAAAATTGTTGCACCTTCCAAGTTATGAAACACTTTTTGAGCTTCCCATTCTCAATATCTATCTCATATACATCGAACCATGTGGTGTGTTGGTATTCTCCATCTCCTCCCATTTCTCCCTTGCAACGAGCATCAAGCGATTAACTTTTTGCCCTTGTCGTGCTCTCGTTTTTTCTCGTGCTCATGGGTTTGATGATCTAAAGGGAGATTAAATTGTCTCACTTTATGGTCATAGAGACTGTAAAAACGACGTTGAATCGAGGCCTTGTCGAGCTCAGGAATCATGAGCCATGGCACCCTAACCCTAGGCTTGGCCTCCAAAGGGAACCCACATCCCCGAAAGTCTCTACGTCTTCGCAGAATTCTATGTGGTGATCTCTTTGGGTATGTCAGACCAATCTTCTGCCATGTTTAGTTTTATTTTTCTGATCAAAATGTGCCATGTTTGATAGGTATCTACTCTCTATATACGGAGTATAAATTTATAGTTTTATTAAAACGAATTATTTAATAAGATTTCAACTGAATATGAACAAAAAATCATTTGTGTGATGAATGCTTCTATTTAAGGCCCTTAAGAGTTAGCTTAGGTCGAATATTATCATCATACATATTTAGTCCGTGTGGGAATTAGACTCTACAGTGAGCTACATGAATTAAGAACTTTTTTTTAGGAAACTTTTATTTTTTTGAAAACAGGAAACTTTTATTTAAGGCAACTAATTTTTTTTTTAAGGCAACTAATATGGAGTACTCCATAATTTTTTTTTAACTAATTTAAATCTTTTTTCGACATTCTTTTTTTTATCCACTCACAATCTATTGTAATCCTCTATGCATAAAATAAATTCAATTTTCTTTAAAAAAAAAAAAATCAATTTAGTATCGTTGACTTGTACATTTGTCAACACGGAATTTTGAACAATTAATACTCTATATCTTTAATCACCGATGAATATAAAAATTTAAAATATTCGAAAATTATACTCTGTACATGAGAATCGAGATTCTCGAAATTCTCTAACAAATATAGCACAGAATTTACCTAAATATATCAGGAAATTTAACAAGAATCCAACCTTTGTATTTTCCCAAAAGAATCCAACCTTTAAATCTGGAAATATCATCCGAGAAGAAAACTCTCTGCCTATTATGTGTCCTAAGATTGATGTCTAAGATTAATTTTCATTCGTAGGAACCCTAGTAGGTCACTTGACGTGTTATACTAGATTGCAATCTACATGTCATGTAATACAAATTATTTTCTTTATTTATTTTTATTTTTAAAAATTCTGATAATTAAAAAAATTTATTTTTCAAATTCTGATAACTAAAAAAAACACCCTCCCTTTCCCATCACTGGCAGCCACCCCCTCCCTTGCCAGCGGCCAAGCAGTCCCTTGGCGACCTATCTGTCTAAATATTTCAGGTAATACACTTAAACCCACTTTCTGAATTCAATTATTTTGCTTAACTATACATAAAGTAGATATACTATAAGAAATCACCAATTCCTAGATTAGTTGAAATCAGGGTATAGCTTTAATTTCTGAATTCTGTACATGTTGTGTTCACTTTTGGTGAATTCAACTTGAAGATTTAATGGAGAGGGGGCAAATTAGTGAGGAAGTCACCTCTTTAGAACAGTTGGATTTTGGGTTTATGAAATCTGATAATGAGGAATTTGGGGTGTGTTATCTCCAGTTTCTTCACAGTATTCTTTGTGTGGAGAATCGGAGTTTGATATATTGTAGCGCGAATTCGGTTATGGGGACTCCTAGTGTGTGTAGTTCAACTCGAATTTCTTCAATTTATTCCAATCTTTGAGTATTTACAAACTGAAATTGTTATAATTTTGATGTAGTTGGTAGAAATTGAATATCCAAAGCAGCATAAAGAAGCATAGATATGAATTTATCAACAAGAATCACAGAGAAATTGCCCTTTCTTGAAGTTCTAGGAAGCCCCGTGTTCTCTTCTAGAGGTGCGCGTTCATTTTGTTTATTACTCGCTCCGTCCCTAAAAGATTACGTGCGAGAGACTGGGAAATGGGTTGAGTAAACTCCCTTGGGACAATATATAGTCGAACTCCAATGGGGCAATATTTTAGGGACGGATTTTATCACACAACATAAAACTGGTACAAGTGTTTTTTGTATTATAGAGTTTAAAAAGGTATAATTGAACCTGAATCAGGTCTCTTGAATTCCAGGAGTGTCCAGACTAGGGTGTGTGCATTTGAAGCAGCCTAGTCTTCGGACCTTTTCCGGGGTTCGAGCGAAAACGGTTGCTAGTTTTGATAGTTGTGATGGTGCTTTAAAGGATGGGACAGGGGTTGTTCTTCCTTCAGCTAAAGAGTTTGCAGAGCAAGCAATTCAATCAATAAAATCAGGAAAAGTTATTGCTGTGCCAACTGATACATTGTATGGCTTTGCTTGTGATGCTTGGTATGCTCTTGAACTACCAATTTACTGCAATGTGCATTCTTTTAAATTTTACAACTTTGTTGAGTTTATTCATGGTATTGTATTTGTATATGTAATATGTTCAATTGGATGAATTTTGGAGATAATGTGATGAAGAAACCTATTGATAAGGGTATTTGAGATCGAAAGACCGTGATATTTTAGAGCACGTTGGATAAAATTAATGTGAGAATTTTATGGTGTTTGTATTACTCAGGGTAGTAGTATATGTTATAAAAATAGGAACTTAGTTTTAAATGGAAGGCGGTTAAGGTCAGGCGTATTTTTAAATGAATTTCTAAATATGCTAAGTTTTGCTTAAGAGGGTAATAAGTTATGCTGTTACCTTGGGAAATTTTTTTACTAGTATGATTTGTGATTAAGAGTTCCACCAAGAAGTTTGTGTCGGAAATCTAAAGAGTTGCAAGCTAGGACAACTTCAAAGACAAGTTGGAACCATTTGAACTTTCCAAATAGCGTAAGTACATGGTCTTCATTATGGGAGTATTGGTAGAACATGACAGACTTCATCAATATTCATACTTCATTCTATAATTGAGCTGGATAAATCTGGTCTTACCATGAGGTGGGTATCATAATGTGGGTTAATAATGTGTGACTTTATATAACTGATCTACTGATACTTGTTATTTATAATGCAAGACTCTCTCTACCACAGTAACCAACTAATTACACCCCTGCTCCCTTTCTGTATCTTTATAGCATTGAGGTCAAGAAAGTAAGGATATTTTAAGATCTTTTTCTTAAAACGCACAATGCAGTCTCATGTAACAAGTTGCTAGCCTGAAATGTCAATATGCATTTGTTTCTGACTTTCTGAGCCTATCATCTCTGACTTTCATGTTTCTACAGCTCTAGAGAAGCTGTGAACAGGATTTATGAGATCAAAGGCCGCAAGCTTACCAGCCCTCTTGCAATATGTGTTGGGGATGTGTCAGAAATAAATCGTTTTGCATTTACAAATCATTTGCCTGATACTTTGCTTGATGCGCTCCTTCCTGGTCCTGTGACTTTAGTTTTGAGGCGAGGTTTGTAACCATTTCTTTGATTCTTAATACGGAGTAGTTTGTTTAATGAACAAAAATGTATAAGTTAGATGCTTGCTGCTTCTGTAAGTACATTTTAGCTCATAAACTAAATAGAAAATGTTGCTGTGAAGAGGTAAATGTACCATGCTGTCTACTCCCTCCATACAAAGTTAATTCTCACATATTCTTGACCCCTCAAAATTGATGATCACCGTAATTTCTCTGCATCATCCTCTATATAAGCTATCTTTTCATATGCTCTCCGCCACACCATTTAGGTGGGGGTAATATTTGGAACAATTATAATCTTTTTATAAGGTGACCAATACTTCCAACTATCCCAAGTTATGATGGAGGGAGTACTATCAATAATTGGTCAACTTTTACACTTGATGGTTGATCTGTCAACTTATAACAACTTATTTCAGGAGAGGCAAGTATTCTAGAGAAGTCATTGAATCCAGGGATAGATAGTATTGGTGTTCGAGTGCCTGATAGCGATTTTATAAGGATCATTGCTCGGGGTTCTGGAAGTGCATTGGCTCTTACTAGTGCAAATTTGACTGGACATCGTAGCAGTGTCTGCATCAAAGATTTCGAGAGTTTGTGGGGACACTGTGCCTATGTGTATGATGGTGGTGAGCTGCCCATGGGCCGTGCAGGGTCTACAATAGTGGATTTGACGAGTCCTGGAAAATATAAGATAATAAGGCCTGGCAGGTTAGAAATCTAATTGACACTTATGGTCTGTATATTTCTGTGCTGATTTGTAATTGTTTTAGTATGATGATGTGTTAAATTCTTATGTCTTATATTGGAATATTTGCAGTGCAAGAGAAGAAACTATTGAAATCCTGAAAAAGCATTTTCTTGTAGAAGAGAAGACTGATAATTCATGATCAATCAACTGAATAAGCAGCTATTTAAATACAAATAGGTAGATTGCACGGAGGCATGGAGCAGCATGATGAACTAATTGTTGGATTTGAAAGGCCTTCTAATGCTCTGGATTGTGTGCAACCTTTGAAGGCGTCTTAACTTTTGTATGTTAAAATTTTGTTTATATTTGCAGATTATAATGCTTTGGTAGTTTGGTGTAATTTAATCATATAGCGTTCAGACTAGGACTAGCTAGAATGGATAGCAGTTAAGTGAACAATATGAGTTCCTCTAAGATTAGACTAAATCAATTTCTATATTTCTACTGCCAAAAAGTGTTATGCATGAGATCCTAAGGGTTGTATGAGATTAATTATTTATAAATACGATGGCTACTTGTTCTATACATTATTGCTAATTTCTGTGCGAAATCATAGAGGTCTCATTCTCATGTAGAGGTTGAGGACCTGCGATATAGCTTGAGAGTGGTACATTTGGTATAAATGTTGTTCAAACACCATCTTCAAGGATAATTTGCTAGTGTGAGAATGTCTGTCCTCCATCAGATGAACAAGTATGTGTATGTTAGAGCAGCGGATGACAAATCTTAAGATGTTATGCATCACCGCCATGTAGGTTTCACCCTTGGCTAGACCATATCAGGTGTTACACAATTGGGTCAAAGTGGTATAATTATATATAAATCAGATGGTATATACTAACTGATTTTTTTTTCTTCTTAATATACTATCAACAAACTTCTCCTTGCAGAAGGAAAATTATGATTAGCTGAAGGCCTGAGGTACTGCAAGTCACTAATGTGCCAAGTTTTGGTTATTTGTTGGTTATCACGTCTTCCAGTTTATTGGTCTGCTAGTTTAGAAACGCTAGATTCTAAGATTGCCTGTAAATGATGTTAATTTGTCAATTCATTTTTACATTTTTACCACCTTTTCTTTGTTACCTACCTGTTTACATCATTATGCCTCTACTGAAAGTCTGAAACCTCTCAAACTTGTACAAACTTGTGTGTTGGAGGACGATAATCCTTAAACCACTCATGTTCGTTTTTGTGGGTAAGTACGGAGTATCTTAACCTCTTGGGATAATTCGTTTGTGTGTCAAACCTTTTTCAAACCATGACAGTTTCATAACAGATACCCGATAAATACCATAATAACTTGTAAGGCAATTACATAACGACTTTCTCTGGTCTACAAGCCATAAGAACGAGTCATATTTAAACAACGACAACAACAGATTATGTTCTATAAACTGGAATCTATGTTATTCAGAGAAGCTTTCTGGAGCATGCACTATTAATTTCTGAATTCAAAATGTGGGTACTTTCAAACACTACTCTAGAAAGCATTCCTGATCTTCATGTAAGCGAATGCAAGCAGAATTGTTCACCCAAAATTCGTATGTTTGCATTTTGCATGGCATATCAGATTGTATGTGCAGATGAGAATGAACTAAGATCCAAGTTCTTTAAACGCATAAGCGATTTCACATGTCCTTTTGATGTGTGAAACTCCTGTAACCTGCAAGTTTCAGGGTCTCATTAATAAAGCTAAAAAAACAGTACAGGGTCTCTAAGAATATAAGAAATTGACTAAAGACCTAGCTATCTCAGCACGCCTTTTGGCCTGTTCAGCAATCAGACTACAACTCCGTCTTCGAGTTACAGGTTGCTCCTCACCCTCGAATTCCCACTCTTCCTTTCCATAGTCTTTCTTAGAACTAAATGCAGTCTGATGAAAACACAAAAATGCATGATAAAATCAGATAAATAGAGGGAAAGCCTTCTCCTTTTCAAAAATAAATAAGAAAGTCCACCTATGAGTAATGAGATCCTGACCTTGTCAAATAAAAGATTCCAAGCTTCTCCGCTTAGAGCGTAACGGACTATGAACTTGATAATATCAAGAGGGAAATAGAAAACCAGACTGTATAGCCATATGACACCAACCCAACCCCATCCAATCCCATTGATTGAAGCAAAACCAATGTTAGCATAAACTGTTATCAATGAGGCAACCTGAAAATGCAAGGAGCAAAATTATGAATTATGTGCAAGGAAAAGGCTAAAAGGTTTAATGTATCAATTACCAGTTGGGCTACGACGAATGCAGACATGAGAAGCACTCCTGGTCTCTCCAGGAATGACCAGCTCTGACTGCGAGTAACAAAGATGAGGGCCTGACTGATAATGCTAACTTGCAGATACATAGCAGATGAGATTTTCTCAGAGTTTCCAGATAGAGAGCTCACACCAAAATGCTTCTATTAAAATTGATGAATGTATAAAAGCATGAGGAATATAAGTAGCCAAAACTTCAAATGTCTGCATTACTCTATACAGTAACCATTTATTATCTCAAAGAAATCTGTGCATTTTATAACCCAGTAAAATAACACAGTGACTAAGGCAAGATATGTCCCTATGACAGTGCCAATTGCAAAAATCTCAAAAAGTTTCCAGCTGTCAGGACTGGGAGATGGTCTGACACGATCTTTGGAAATGGTCATGATGGTTCCTGCATTGAAGTTAGATGTACAGGAATTAAGGCTAAGGGAGGAACTGTCCCGCAGAAAAGAATTAAAAAGTCCAGTGTTTTCTTGATGGTAATGACAATGAGGATTAGTTAGAAGTCATAAAACATACTCCGTAATATTTTCAAGTCTTACAGCCAGATGGAGTGATTGGAAACAAATAACCAAGCATCATACAGAAATGATGTGGAAAAAAAAAAATCAGAAGGAATTACCATCATTTAATATTGCTATGATCAGAACCATGAACGGTGGAAAGTCATACTCCCAGATTAAGGCCAAAAGCATGAAGCCTAGCTGAAACAGGACAACATCTTTTTTTAGCTGTCTTATAATTAAATAGAAAGTTAAGCTTTTACAAAGTATTTTGTTGGAGTTGTTTGGGGGAAGTTGGTGGTTTTGGGTGGGGGTGGTGGGGTCAGAGAATCCAACATACCACAATGCGGATGGTTATGGAGACCGCGTATATCTGAAAATGTTAAATTAAAATTACCAGTGAGACATAATCCATCAATACTAGGCAAAACATAATTCTTTAAAACAGAAATTAACTGTGTAGTTTTTCATCCTCTGGAATATGGCCCGGCTAGTCAAGACAGCACTGATAATCACACTTAAGCCGGGTTCTGTAAGTACAATATCAGCTGCACTCCTTGCAGCATCTGTAGCATCTGCCACTGCTATTCCAATATCTGCCTTCTTTAAGGCTGGTGCATCATTCACACCATCCCCAGTCATTCCCACAACATGTTGCTTTTCTTTCAGAATTTTCACTATTTCGTACTTGTGTTCTGCAAGCCAGTTGCAGTCACAGCATTAATCAAAAGGCCAGTGGTGAAAGATAATGAACTTATACTTGTACCAAATACTTTTAATATTTAATGCTTCTTCTTTGACATGAATCACCATGAATTCGAATTCAAGAATATAACAGGACTCAGACATAGAGACAGTTATACTTGGGGGGGGGGGGGGTGGCATTTTACTCCAATTGGTGTTTTCTGAACAGATTTAGCTTTTAAATTATTTGGCATTATTAGTTGGATTCGAGAATTCTTAACTAGATAAAAATGCATGTTATGCTGGAGAAAAACAACAGTTTTTTCCCTGTACCAGCTTTACTTCCTTACATCGACATATTGCATGTAACTGCTGATTCATCTACAAGACTAACCTGGGAAAACACCGGCAAAGCCATCAGCCATTTCAACGAGCTCATCTATTGGAAGGGCTACAGTTTCTTCCTTGTCATGTCCCAACAGTGATGACGATGGATACATATTAGTTCCCATACCAAGTCGTCGACCAGTCTCCTTTGCAATTGCCAGTTGATCACCTGTTGCAGGAAATTGGATAAAAAGTATAAGGTGAAACATTCAAGGAAGGGAAAAAATAGAGGATGAATGAAATGCAAAAGATACCTGTAATCATCTTGACACAAACTCCAAGGTTAAGAGCTCTTCGAATGGTCTCAGCGCTATCATGCCTTGGGGGATCAAAAAGAGGTAGCAGTCCACAAAACATCCAAGGGCCTCCTGGACTTGACTTTGTTTTCTCTGGAATTTCCTGTAAATTGCAACAAGTTATTCTTAAGTGTCTATGTTTAAGAGGCTACAATTAAGAAGTGCGAATCATTACATCTTCACAAAAATGATTACAGAAATGACAATCCAGTATGGATTCCACCATATACAGGGACTACCAGACCAGGGAGGTCAAGATGTTAGCAGCAATACCCCTACCTAGTCTGAGAGGACTAGTATAATCACATCTTACCAACGTTGTTATATGATATGAATATTCTCAAAACTCAACTGTACTAATACATCAAACATTACCCTTATGCCTCTATGGTGAAAATTTTAGCTCTACGAGAAGTGGAAAGTGTTTTGGATATCAATCATTCACTTTAAAATTCTATACACCAATCTGCATTTAATACTAGAATTATTACAGACCTGATTGAAGATTGAACTAAGAACAACTTGATACTAACTCATCAACTAAACACTCAGCATCACAAAATAGTTCTAAATTTTTTTTAAAAAAAATAATTCAGAAATTTTCTTGAGTCAGATGTGAGAAACAAAAAGAAAAGAGGGATATCAGGGATATCTGTACCTGCAAGGCAACTGCAAGAGACCTCAATCCCTTTTCAGCAAATCTGTCAATCATTTCTAGCACTTTTCCAGCAATCTCATTTTTCTCTTGGCAGAGAGCTAGAATCTGGAAAGGAAAAAGACAGAGGGTGGCCTATATAGTGACAAATCATCATCGTTGCACAATTGATCACAAATTATTATTTATCTAGCAAAGCGAGGCAATAAGTGATGATGGCATTATCATCGGAGATACTCTCAAACAATTTAGTACTTGAATCAATAAGCATACTTTTATCAACTTTGATATAACCTGATGTGGTTATAACATCACAAGTTCTAACAGATCCTGCTATGTTTATTGCAAATTTGGGGACTATGATCTTTGATTTTAGCTACTTAGAACAATGCACATGAAAATTCAGGGAAATTAATTTTATTTGAGTTGCATGCCTGTTCAGGGGCTCCTTTGCTGGTCCTGTACCATTTACCATCACTATCTATGTAAGTTATAGCTGTACGTTTGTCAACAGGATTAAAAGGCAGGAAGTGAATTTCTTGGATGTTTGCGCGTGCCTGCAAGAAAAGTTAAGCATGATAATGGTGATACTAGTACATGGAGATTGAGGCACAAAAATGGGTTTTAAGGTATGTCATCTCTTACCTCCCTTGGATCACTAAGCATGTTAACAATGGCAGCATCAATGGCATCTTGATTTTCTAGTCTTGATGCTCTCGCTGCAAATAAGATAACTGTGTCTTTCTCCATGTCTTTGTTAAAAACCTGACAGAAAGAACAATTCAATTCTTGAACTTAAGAAACAGGTTACTTTCATTGGTCTATTCAACATTTATGCATGGAGAATTCCATACTAGGTTTCTAAAGAAGTCTCGGTATACAAAGGATCCATCTGACCTAGAACATCCAGTTTACAACACATTTGTTTTGCATTAGCAGAATTGCTAAATGTCAATTTGAAACCATAACCTCTAAGAATGGCATAAGGAGTTTTAATATGATTCTGATCACATTATGATTTTTGGACTGATATAAGAAGCTGATGAAACTTATTCCTTCTGCTTACTTTTACCATTGATATAAACCAAGATTTAGATGTGCCAACTAACTTCCTGATATTTTTCACCAGGCAGTGTAATAGCACCATGATGTGTCACTGATAATATACAGCAACACTGTTACATGAAATGAGAACTCCAAACATGTTATTCTTGACAAAGATAGCTCTAGTACCTCTATGAGGCTCCGATCGACTGTGAGACGGTTCAGAGTTAAAGTGCCTGTTTTATCACTGCATAGAACATCCATCCCAGCCATTTCTTCGATTGCTGTCATCCTTTTTGTAATGGCACCCTGAAATATTTGTTTGCTACGTAAGGCCTTCACAGTATAATACAGCAATTGGAAAAAGGCTGACAATCCACAGGATAGGTCTAAAATACACCCCCCCTCCCTCCCTTTTCAAATTTGTCCCCTCTATCTGAGAGCACACCTGTTGAGATAGACGATGGGAACCGATTGCAAGTGTAACAGACAGAACTGTTGGCATAGCTATGGGTATTCCACCAATCAATAGAACAAGAAGGTTGTTTATCCCACTCCTGTAAGCACGGTGTTGAATAGGGAACATAACAATGATCTCAATAATCATTCCTACTGCTATGGAGCAAATGCAAAAATTCCCAATGGCAGTAAGGACCTGCAAGCAACACATGATTTAGAATAACCAAGATTTGGATAAGTGATAATATATTTGTTCATAGTTCAATTAGTTAGAAGTTAAAAAAGTGTCACGGCGTGATTAGCCTACTGTGAAGTGTCCATTCCAAAGAACAAGGATGAGGACAGAAAAAAAGTGTCTTTATCTCAAAATAAATGTTATAAAAATTCTACAGTAAAATGGATTTTAGAGACTTTGATATCAAACACATAAGTTCACCAGTTTCATGGGATGCAAAAGTAGTAGGAAACTCCTCCACAATCTTTCTAGTTGAAACTGACAATGTTGTAAGCAGCAAATGATAGTAATCTAAAAACCATGAATTAGGTTAGCATTAGAACTTAATTCTTAAAAGTTTGAAAATTGAAATGCTTGATTCAATCATTTGGTTTGGGAGAGTAAAGTAAAGGTTTATTAACTATGCAACATCAGGGTCTTACACAGAGCAGAGATTTTCACGAGTTAGCAGAGAAGTGGCTTATATAATATTTCAGTGCTCATCTACCTGCTGGAAATGTCCAACAACTTCAGTGCTATCCACCAAGTATGCTGCCTTTCCAAGAAAAGAATGCACCCCAGTTGCTATTACTACAGATTCTATTTCTCCATGCTTGCATGTAGATCCTGAAAACACTTCGTCACCACTTCTCTTCGTGACAGGCAAAGATTCCCCAGTAAGAGCAGACTGAAGAAAATGCCATCAGGTTCACTTTAAAAATAGAGTATGAATTATCAAATAAGGACTGGAAAGAGCTTTCAGACACGCACATAATAAAAGTACAGAGAGGATCAGTAAAGTACTTGCCTGGTCGATTTTTAGAGGGTCTCCTGCTAGTAAACGAGCATCTGCAGGAATGATGTCACCAAGCTTTATGCTAATAATATCTCCAGGAACTAGAATAGTTGCATCTTGCTCTTGCCATTGCCCATCTCTAAGGACCTGTATAACAAGGTAGTGAATATATAATCTTTATTCTACATAAGCTACTGAATGTACAGACTGTCAGATGATTCACCCACAGTAAGCTGCAAGAGTTCCAACCATCAAATGATAGACAACGAAGAAAGATGAACAGATGAATGTAACCTGATTAAAAGGAAGGCACTATATAAATTCTAGATTGAACAAAATATCCAGGAAGTTTGACTTCTCAATAACAAGCTTTTACAGCAGAAAGATAGCAAAGTAACATATATAATGCATTAATTGACTTGTGTTTGAGGAAACACTGGCAGACAGAATGTAATCGCATTAAAGACTATAAGCATTGGAGATAAATACCATACAAAGAGAAAGAGACATATAAAGAGACATATCTAAACAATCTTGAAAAAGCCCTAGGGAAACTATGTTTGATCTTTCACTCTTCTATCAAAATCTTGCTTAAATTTCCCAAAACTTGCTTGATGAAGCGAACATTATTTCTTCTGTAACATAGTTTCCCTAGGGCATAACAACACTAGCTAACATGGTGGTGATCTCTACAGAATCAGTACTTGAATCAAGTGCTTGGTTTTGTTTACTAAGAATGTAATGCACCTATGTAATACAAGAGAAGATCTAGTTCAAAAAATTGGGTTAATGAGACACCTTTGTCTTCGGAGCTAAGTGTGCCATAAGTGCTGCAGCAGCATTCCCTGCATTGTTTTCCTCCAAAAAGCTAATTGTTGAGTTTAAGAGCAGTAGGCACATGATGCCTACAAAATCCTGCCAGTCTGGTCCTTGGTCCTGAAGCACATACACGTCAGACTGATGATTAGATGGATGGAATGACCATAATTACACAAAATATCAGATAAACTCAGAAATATGAGAAACATTAGTAATTGGATTAACTTACTCCTCCATTAGCAAGGACAAGTGCCATCACAGCAGCAGCTTCCATTACCCATGACAAAGGATTCCACATGAAACTAAGAAATTTCAATATTTTGTTCTCCTGAATCAAGACGAAACTATAGTCCTATTAGACTGCATTGTCATAAAGTAGAAAGAAGTCTGGTTATCTGATGCTTTTCAATTCTCAAGAATCTATCTAATCATTTTATTTTTAATACCTTATTTATTATATGCTTGGTTTCATTTAAATGTAGAAGAAGCATGACTAATAAATATTAGTTGTGCCTCTAATACTGACTGAATGTCTTTTGCATCAAAATCTCCTTAATATGAAATTCTAAGAATTGTACATCAATCTTGTAAACACTACACAGTCTTTTGACAACCTCCAAAAGGAGAGACTGTCACAAAACGGGAGAGTGTCATGGCCTGTGACCTATATCAGCCCCTTAAACATACCGGCTTTTCTTCAAGTCTATTGGGTCCAAAAATCTTCAAGCGGACTTCAGCATCCTGAGTTGAAAGGCCGTTTTGTGAGGTTTTCAATAGCTCAAAAACTTCTTCCATAGGTAAACGACCCTGTTCAACCACATTTTTTAAATCGACATAGGATCAGAATGTTGTCAAAATCTGGTAACCACACATGTTTTTAATCAAAACTTACCAAATCAATCCCATCTCTCATAAATTCCTGAGGATTTAGGAGTGGCTCCTTTAGGCCTTCTGCCATAACTCAAAATACAGCCTGCGGACCTGAAAAACCAATTACTTGGCAAATTATATGTGCAGGCTCCGCTCCACTGTAACTAAGCAGATGCAAGTGTCCCTAGGCAAGCTTTTGAATACGCATTTTGAATTATCTTCTATTTACTTCTTCCTTGATTGGAGACAAGAAATGCATGCCATCATGTAAAGGTTGCATGTACTAATGATGGATAAAGCAAATCATAATTGCAACCAGAAAATTATACTACTTATATGCTGACTAATGTGATCTACAATCCAAACTTAACTTAGTTTTTAGTTACAATCACAAAAGTGCTGATGTACTAAATTGAAAAAATTTCACCACTTTGCCAGCCATAATAATGGTCCAAGACACTGATGCTGCTATCAGATAGTTGAAGTGATCAAGCCATATAAACTACCTCCATGTTCTGAAATTCACTCATCAAAATGTCATCTCTTTAGGAACATCAGTACATAACCGACTCGAATACAAGCATGCATTGATTCGAAATGGTTGAATTCACAATCATAAACACAATTAAAAGTTAGAAGCAATCAGCATATATGTTAAAGTTAAACCAAGAAACGCAAAAGGCGGGAAGGAGAAGGAAAATTTCAAAGGGCTACATAAGTTAATTCATAACAAACACAATTAAAATATGATTATGACCCATAACCTGAAATATTAATGATAACTTGAGATAATCAAAATGAATATTCAAACTTACTTGTGTAAGCACTTTGGAAACCCGTATAATTTGAACTTGGAGCAAGAGCACAACTTGAAGTGGGTGTGGTTATTGTAGAGAAAAGTGGGATTTTGAGGGGAAAGTTGGATGGCATTTTTGTAAAGGGCTCTGAAGTTGAATAATGTTTGACTGGTGGGTGGAAGATCATCAGAGACAACAACTGCCCTTCAAACCATCAAAGCCCCTACATTCAGAACCTAACGGTCTATTCTGTTTTAACCTTGCAGGATAACCCTCTAATAAGATGTAGAGTTACTCAGGAGCAGGATTGTGTCGCATTACATAGGCCAGCTTAGCTCAGTAAATTATGTCCGAATTGCATAGTAATGTTGCTAACCTAATCAGCTATACCGTAAATTTTCACTCAAGCAAAACATGCTGAGAATTACGATTAACGGATTAAGTGACCAACATCTTTATGTTTCCCTGTTCATAGATTGTATAATTCCAGCCTTCCAGACTACAGTTTGAAGTTTCACATGCCTAGGTGATCAATTTCTTCTATTTATAGAATGTTGAGTGTATTAGCTTCTAACAAAGAGCATCTTCCTTCATATAACTTCAATATTAAAAAATTTGCAAGAAATTTTACTTTCTTTTTCGAAACAGACATCTGGTGGAATATGCCATATATCTAGCAAACTCATCATTTTTTGTTTAGCTCCCTGTACTCTTACTAAAATATCTGGATTCTGGCCCCAAGAGGCAAGCCCCTTCTCTCTGGAATATGCAAAATGAGATAAATACCATAGATATTAAAACCTTCATGACAGCCTACAAACCGGAAAGATTCCTTCACAACCACCATCAATTAAGAAATTGAGATTCATTCGACAACTGTGAATAACACACATTCTCTTCCATTCATGTTGATTGCACATTGTATCATGAATCAAAGTGCAGATATCTTAATTAGTAGCCAAAAAAAAGCAAATAAGGATTACATTTTCACTACATATACAGTGACCCAAGAACTGCGGGTTTAGCCAAAAAAGTGAACAAAAACGCAATGGCACGCAAAGCATGCTTCTGCTGCTGCCTAAACCTGGATACCAAAGCTTTATCTAGTTGACTTGCCTTCACTGGGCAGAGGGATTCTCTTGTATTCGTAGCTGTTTATATCTACTTTCTCCTGAAATGCCTGGCAAGTCCAAAGCCAATAGTACTGTAAGTCGCCCTAGGTTTCAATGGATACATTTTATGATAAATAAATATTAAACTATATAAAACGAGACTCATACCTTTAGCTCCTCTTCTAATGAAATCTTTTTCGGATTGTATGCATTAACAGGTCCAGTTCTGGAAAGAGCTTTTCGTTCCTCGATGATTTCCCACTCTTTATCATCTTTTATTTTGGAAATATCCTTACTGAAAAATATATATGAGCAACAGCATTATTGCATATTACTATTTACAATCCCTCCCCCTGTAATGAACTTAGGGGAGGGTATTACGGGTAATTTAGTATGTTAGTAGTCATCAAATGTAGTACATAAGGGAAATTATGCAAGGAATCAAGAGATGCTACATGGGCACAAAAGAAGACAAACCATTTAGAATCATCTTAGAAATTGTAAATAAATAGAAAGGAAGAGAGGGATAGGCAGAAATTTGGTGTGAACCCTTGAGAGAGTTATGGCCTAAAGCCATTGTAAGAGAGTTGTAAGCTAAACTCACTATTGGAGAGAAATAGCCTAAAGCAATTAAACCTATCTTTTGTAAACCTTTTGCCATTTTCAATCAATAGTCAAGCTTTCATCTTTCTTATTTCTTCTTTATAAATTAATTTACCAAAAATCAGATTATTTACTTAAATCAAAGGACCAATCTTTTTCTTTATTTTACTGTTATTAGTGTGAGTGATATCAATCTATTACACCCCCCTCCCCCCACCAAAAAAATTGATGATTGTCTTTCTCAAAAGTTAAAATTCCCAAATTCAAATTGAAGTATAGAACTGGATTTTAGGAGGCTTCAACAAACTCATAAATGAAATGTTATTAAATAGGAAAGTGAAGTAAACTTCGTCACTTCTTTAGCATACTACTGTGTAGACAGGTTTAACTCTATAGTCCATAAGCCTACCAAGGGAGAATTTATAAATACAATCCCCACAAGTTCAAGTCCATAAGAGTTTTATCATTTTAAAGAGTAGAATTAGAGAAAAGCCCTAGTTAGTTCAAGGTCAACTAGTCAAGTACCAATAGGATGGACAGATTGGTAACTGGGAAGCAGCTACCCCAAACACCACAAACCATCACCAAAATTAATAAACTCAGAACAAAGAAAAGCGGGTTGGGAGACAGAAGGAGAGAGGAAGAGATGTGTGTCTATTCTTTGAGAACAATTAATTCGAAATCTATTCAGATCAAAAGCACTGTAAATCTCTTAAAATAACACATTTAAAAGTGACTCAACTTGCTTCAAAGAAGCGCTTCTAATTCTGTCCATTAGGTTATCTCTAGTTGGGAGTACAATGGTTAACACCCATCTTGCATGATGTAAAATGGATTATTACCCTGCATAACTCTTCTTTGGAATTTCTAAATCAAGCAAGTTAGGATACATGAATGCCCTTGACTTTAATTTGCTGAGAGAAGATCCCACAAATTAATCTGGATTTGTAATAAATCCATTTTAGTCCAGCATATACCAGGTTATTTTTAGAAATAAGGGCATGTTCAAGGACAATTTCTTGAAATATAATGAGGTTTTCAAATAAATTTAAAGTTAATTATATTGGGATGTACCGCAGAGCATAACACTCGCTACCTTCCCCTGGCATAAGAAGTACCATTTTCTCACCATGCACTAAACAAAAATCCAAGAAACCAGCCACGACCAGCACTCAAGAACCGAGACTACACTCATCTCAATCTTGTCACCAACCTACATAACACCCAAACCCCCTACCTTAGTACTAGAAAAATTTATGGTAAGATTTTATTTAGGAGTTCAAAAGATACAATAGGTCTGGTCAATGAATTCACATTCAGAACCAAAAACGGAGAGTAGTAAGAATAATTTACCTCCCTTGCAACATATGACCAAGGCCAAGAGTCCCAAACACAGTCAGGGAAATAAGAGGAAGCCCATATCTTAAAAACGGGTTCCTCCTACCCAATCTTTTCAATCCTGAGTACTGGAAACTCGAAAAGGATGCTCCATTCTTCGAAGTATCAACTGCTACCATACTCCTCCCTCCAATGAACCTGAAATTCAGGGGGAAAAAAAAAATCAAAAAATTCATTTTCCGGATTCCTGAACAATGACATTTACTCAAGGAAACTAGAGCTTACATATATATTGCTAAAACATATGGAAAACACATACCGGAATCTGTTCAAATAAAAGTTTTAGTAGAAGCTACAACTGGTTGTAATAAATAGACCTTCATGCAACCGGATAAAACGACAACCTATTGTATGTCTCTAATTTGCAATTGATTGGTATACTAAGAAAACAAGCTTTAACAAATGCATTGAAAAACACTTCAGCCAATAAGGCGGGTACAATTCAATTCAACATTTAGTTCGTTTGGGTTTGATTACATCAAAATGGGATTATCTTAAAGAATCAAAATTCATAAAACTAAGCCCTAATCAGCAATATTCATCATAATCACAATATAAATACATGATCCAAATAAAAAATTAACAGATAAACTAGCAATCACAGCTCTATATGGCTCCATTTGAATCAAATTGAAGTACAAAAATTCTTCCACAATCAAAATCAGCAATTTGGCAAATTTACAATGTGTGGCAAAAAAAAATGTATAAAGTTGAATGCAACTGAAATCATATGTAGCAGAATTTAGAAATTGGGGAAAACTAAAGATGAAAGTGCAAATTTTTTTTACAAAATTAGAATTTAATAGGAAATTAAACAAAGATAAGAGAAAGAAATCAAAGAAAAGATATGATAGTACCTTAACAGTAAAACGCCGGGAGATTGAATGAGGTGATTGATGAAGGGGTCGTGATTTTGATGTCTAATTTGATAATTTGGAATATGCGAGAAGTTTAGTGCATAAATTGGGTCACTCTTCTTGTTTGGGGCAATTTGTTGGTTTAACGTACGGAGTATTATTTGCCTGTTTTTGTTAATTTAAGACTATAGACCATTTTTAAGGTTGCAACCCTCGTTAAAAATAAAACCTTTCAACCCATGAACCCAAGATCGATTAGTGTTTGCTTTGTTTGCTTTGTTGTAGTTGAATTTTGGGTTTTTTGAATTGAATTGAATTGTTTATAAATGAATTGCATAAAAGGTGACATAAGGTAATGGTTTAAAGTACGTGTAAAATTGTCGAAGCAATTGTTCATAAAATTTGACACCCCCTTTGTCACTTTGTTAAATGATAATATTATTTTCATAATACTTTAGTACTTGTCAGAAGAATTTTCAACTTCGATAATTTTTCGTTAAACGACCAATTTTCTCTTTCCTATCGAAATTGGCATATGACTTATTATTGAAAGCTCTTAAAATAAGTCATCAACTCTAACTTATATCACCTCCAGATCAGTTCTGGATTGAGAGATATGTGCATTTGAAGTTAGCGCTTCGCCATTTCACTATATTTCAAATCACAAATAACATGGTTAAATAAATAGATTTGGTTGTACCCTCTATCATAAGGTAAAAACATCAAGATACAAACGGTAGTCCGACAATATATAAAATATTGCTTATTTTAATTTTAACTATTACGCAAAAATTGTCATCATCCAATTTCAATCTTGAAAGAAGACTGTCCTATGTTGCGGGGTTTTAATTTAACTATGGGGCCTGTCGTAATTTCGCAAATGCACTACGTACTAACGTAGTAACCGCAAAATGTGTGGACACCGAAACGAACACCAACACCATTTCGGCCTTTCCCACTTTCTCTCTCCTACCTCAGCTGGCACCTCGCAGCTCACACCCACAACAATGGCCACCATCATAAACCACTAAACCCACTAATACCTTCCGAAATCTAGGTTGCCTTCTTTGCTTCTCAATTTTTATAAACCCTTTACACCAAAATCCATTAAAAAAAACAAATTTGATTGAAAAAAGTGTGGTAGAAAATGAGTCATCTTGGATATAGTTTTGCTACACAATCCACATCAAAATATGCTCTTTTGGGAAATTTGAGTAACCCCACTTCAGTTTCATCTGGGTGTAGTGAATTTATGGGTAATTCTGTAAGAAATTGCAGTTTTAGCAAAGAATTTGGCAAAAAGCAAAGAATTGGGTACTCCCCATTAAAGGTTTACATGCATTCTTCTTTGTTTTTCATTGTTTAAAGGTTGATTTTTGTGGGTTTTGACAGAATAGTTGAGTTTTTGAGTAATTGATGTAATTTTTGGTTGATACAGGTTGTTTGTGTAGATTATCCAAGGCCAGAGCTTGATAATACAGCGAATTTCTTGGAAGCTGCTTACTTGTCTTCGACTTTTCGGAATTCTCCCCGTCCGAAGAAGCCATTAGAAGTTGTAATTGCCGGTGCCGGTGAGCCGAATGATCCCTCTACGTGCTTTGTTCATTGTTTATAATCCTGTACAATTGCATGTTGCTAAGCAAATTGGTTATTGTTTTCATTTGTTTGTTGAAAAAACATTAGGTTTTAGATATAATGAACTGTGGAACTTGTTTATCAAATGTTGAGTGTAAAAGATAGAGGTTTTGAGGTAGAGTTTTGGTTATGAGCAATGTATAGGTTATGGTTGAATGAGACCTTTTAGGTGGAATTTTGAGAGATGTGCTTAATTGTATACTGGTCTTTCCAGATTCTATATGCTAAGTAACTTAATTAGGAATGGTCGAACTGTCGTGGATTATCAGTTTGATCCCAATGTATATGCTGAGGGTTTGGTTTCAAGAAGGTTACATGAACATTTTTGTGTTTAAAGACTGGAGTCAATGTACGAGCTTTTCTCATTTGGTGTATTGTTCAAGTTTCTGGGATCAAGAACCAATTGGCAAATACTTAATCTTGTTCTCCAAATAATACTTCGTACCGTGTTTCTAATTTCTCAGAAATGATGTATCACAACTCTTGCAATTGTCACAAGAGATAGTTTTTCTCAGTGGCTTAAGCAAATGGCTAAATAACATAATCATAAATCATAATGATGCTCCCTTTACACCTTTTATCCCCTTCAACTGATCTAACCATCTGTTTACACAATATAGTTAATAATCCTACCCAAATATAGTTACATAAACTTTAGTCCTAAGGTTTTGCAGTAAGCTTCATACACATCTGTTAAGAGGAATTACGTTGTCGATTTCTACCACGAGGTGAATGAACAGAATAGTTTGTCTCACAAGCTTGTAGAAGAGGTTCAATCATGCAACATATCTTTTATTTTTGTTGCTGCAAAGTTTTCTAGGAGAAATCTTCCTTGCATTGCTTAATGTAAGGGGGGATGTCTTGGTGATACTAATTCATCTTTATTCATAGAATAACACAAATACTTCAGATGTGGGAAGAGGAGTTTTTTTTTTCATTGGTGGAAACTATAGATGATTTCTGTACGTTATTCTTCTGAGTTTTGAGGCACTTTGTTTCAAGAACTCTACTTTTATTGAGAGAAATAGCAGCTTGGGAGGGATTGGCAGAGAGGATAGGAACCAAGTAAATATATTTATGCCATTTTATGGATTATAGATTTAATCATCTGTTGTCATTGAGATGTTGATGTGCAAATTGAGTTCTCATACTTCGTTGGATTCAGGTTTGGCTGGTCTATCCACGGCAAAGTATTTAGCAGATGCAGGTCACAAACCCATATTGCTGGAAGCACGAGATGTTTTGGGTGGGAAGGTGGGTTCTATTTTGTGCTTGTAGTTTTACAGCTTCAATAATATATGGTGCTTCCCCTCTTCCCGATTAATGTTTGTTAAGCAGATGGAAAAGCTTTTCCGATTTGGCTGTATAGTTTTACATAGATGACATGCTTTGATTTGAAATGTTGAGGATTCAGGATGGACTTGAGAACATGTGCCGAGCGAATTATTGTAGTGTGCAATTTTGGTAGTAAATCTTGTGGTGCTTATAAATCGTATGTTGCATGACAGATAGCGGCATGGAAAGACAAGGATGGGGACTGGTATGAAACAGGGCTACATATATTCTGTAAGTGTATTCTATTTTTACAATCAACCCTGATAACCTTCCCCCGCGTAATGGAAAATATTGTATTACCTGTTCCTTTCTCTCTGGTAACACGGATGTGTGTCCTAACTTTGGAAAATATTGACTGTTATTCTGGTCTTATTGGCACAAATTTCTACTGTTAAACTGTCGAATTGATCTGAATATCTTCATATTTTCTTGAAGTTGGGGCTTATCCAAATGTACAGAATCTGTTTGGAGAGCTAGGTATTAATGACCGATTACAATGGAAGGAGCACTCAATGATTTTTGCAATGCCTAGCAAGCCTGGTGAATTTAGCCGCTTTGATTTTGAAGAAGTCCTGCCTGCACCATTAAATGGTAAGTTTGCTGATCATAATTTCCAAGCCGACTCTCTATCTATGTGACCCAAATCAAGACAAAACTAATGCCTTTCCCTGGGCTCCTAGCAAGAATTTTCCTGTGGTTAGATTTGTGTTCAACAGGCTCTAAAGCATCTAGACCAACCAAACCTTAAAATCGATAGTATAAGTACTGTAATCTGTAAGGCTAGTAATATTTGTTAAAGTGAAACAAAAACTCCATATGCTTCCACATATAAAAGGGTAACTATATCAAAAACCATTATTCATGTATATTCTAGAAGATACTTGAAAATTTTCTTCTTATCAACACTATCTATATTCAGGGGGATGAAAGCCCCTGTCAGTCTGTTACCAATTGACTTTGTTTGCTGTAGTCATTTGTTCAAATATCTAAGTCATTTTAGTGAACCACTCTTCATGAGTGAGGTTAATTTGTTTTGGTATTATCTAATGTGTTTGGCAGGCATATGGGCAATCTTAAGGAATAATGAAATGCTTACCTGGCCAGAGAAAATCAAGTTTGCTATTGGTCTCTTGCCTGCAATGGTTGGTGGACAATCGTATGTTGAGGCACAAGATGGTTTGAGTGTCCAAGAGTGGATGAGGAAGCAAGTAGGAAAATTTAATCATTTAAAACTGACTCATTTGATAATTGCCTTTTGTTCTGTTGATTATTGTATGTCTAGTTCTAAATTTTGAATTTGCAGAGGGCTTCAAGAGTTGAAAATCTTTTGGAAAATTTTGTAGGGTGTACCTGATCGTGTAACTGATGAAGTATTTATTGCCATGTCAAAGGCATTGAACTTCATAAATCCTGATGAACTTTCGATGCAGTGTATCTTGATTGCTCTGAACCGATTTTTGCAGGTATGAGTACATTTCATTGTCCGCTTTAGATTTTCAGATTTCTTGTTTGCATTAAGACATACTTCGTATTAAACTGCTTTATACAAATTATGAGAAATTTTAGCAAGAAAGTATGTGACATAAAAGAATCCTGTACTGCATTCTAAAAACTGATATGAAAATGATGTGACATCAACAGGAGAAGCATGGTTCCAAAATGGCTTTCCTGGATGGCAATCCTCCGGAAAGGCTGTGCATGCCTATTGTTGAGCATATAGAGTCACTTGGCGGTGAAGTGCGACTCAATTCTCGTCTTCAGAAGATAAAGTTAGCTCAGGATGGAACTGTAGATAGTTTTTTGCTAACTAATGGAAAAGAGGTTAGAGGAGATGCTTATGTCTCTGCTGCTCCAGGTTTGTTTCTCATCTTCATCAAATTTATCAGGTTCTGAGCAAGCTTCAGGGCAACAGAATCGCAAGTTCCTTTGCTGAGACAAACTTCTGATGAAACTAAATATCGCAATTATGATGATTTCTGATATACCTTTTTTAATTTCCTTGTCAGTCGACATCCTGAAGCTGCTTCTACCTGATGAATGGAAAGAAATATCGTACTTCAAAAAGTTGGATAAACTAGTAGGAGTTCCAGTCATTAATGTTCACATATGGTTAGTTAAAACTACTTCTATATTGTGGGGTATGATCTCCTTTACTATGTAGACTGACATTAAACTAATACTGCTTGCAGGTTTGACAGAAAATTGAAGAATACATACGACCATCTACTATTTAGCAGGTTGTACCTGATTCACTGTCAAAACCATATTCTTGTCAGAGCATGAAAATATTCTCATTTATTCCTTCCCCTTCACTTATAATGCTTGCCTTGTTTCTAGTCTTTTTCTTTCCCTTTAAACCACTAACATGAAAATCGGGGAAAGGAGTCACTAAACCATCTATGAACTGATTTTTCTCTATGGAGTTTGGACATAAGGCCTGTTAGTTGATCCCTGTCTGCAGTGTATTTAATTCAGGGTTTTGGAAAGACCTTTTTTATTTTTTTGATGTGGATGACTGGAATTTCTTTTGTTAGCAATTGTTTGTGTTTGAATAACTTCATTGTTGGATATGATATACGAAGTAGCTTACTGGAAGTGTAGATAATTAAAGATCCTTACTGTTTACTTGATTTTTGTTTTGCACTCATGTGTAGAGTTTTCTCTTAACTTTTGATCTTTGCCATTGCAGGAGTAATATTTTGAGTGTCTATGCTGATATGTCATTGACATGCAAGGTGAGCATTACGCTGTCTATGTTCTTTTCCTGTTTTGTCTCCATCGTAAATTGTAATGTTTTCATCAAATCTGATTTGATCAATATATATGGATATCCTTTTAGTTTGTTTTATTTTTAAATTTTTTCCCTGAGATTGTTTTCACTGTTACTCCCTCTGTCCCATAATACTTGACACAGTTACCATTTTCGTCCGTCCCACAATACTTGACACGATACTGTATATGAAATGGGACCACTTACTCAATCAATCAATCAATCAAAGCCTTAATCCCATAAGTGGAAATGGGACCACTAATATAAAAATATAATCCTATACTCTCTTTGGGACCACAAACCCCAAAATCCAATTAAATCCTACATTTTCTCTCTCCTCACTACCCCCACCTCTCTCACTTTTTGTTTTCTTACAATATAAAAATATAAAAGAGAATCTTTTATATAATAAACAAATGTTTTAAATGGACCCACTTGTAGTTTTCTTAAACTACGTGTCCACCCCAACGTCCCAAGTATTATGGGACGGAGGGAGTATTATGGAACAACTGTTTTCACTGATAAATACTCCATAAACTTCTCTCAAGACCTCTGATTGTATGAGCTGAAAAGTTATCCCTCATTTTTATTATCTTTCCTTTTGTTTTCATGCCCCACAATGCTCATCTATTCTTTCTGGTGTGTACAGGAATACTATGATCCAAATAAATCTATGTTGGAATTGGTATTTGCACCAGCAGAAGAATGGATTGCTCGCAGTGACACTGATATAATTGAGGCAACAATGAAAGAACTTGCCAAACTTTTCCCTGACGAAATTGCAGCTGATGGGAGCAAGGCTAAGATCCTCAAATATCATGTCGTCAAGACTCCAAGGTGAGTGATTAATAAATATAAGATTTGATAGTTTCTTAATCCTGAGATTCCTGACTGGATTATCACAACTGCTGTCACTTTTATAGGTCTGTTTATAAGACAGTTCCAAATTGTGAACCTTGTCGGCCGCTGCAAAGATCACCTATAGAGGGTTTTTATTTATCTGGTGATTTCACGAAACAAAAATATTTGGCTTCAATGGAAGGAGCTGTTTTATCTGGGAAGTTTTGTGCACAGGCTATTGTGCAGGTAATAAGGCTTTCCTGAAACACCTTAATCACAGTGATCATGTATTCAGTCTTATTTTTCAGAAATGCATATTTTTTCATTTTGATGATAAATATTCCTTATTTTGTTATCGTATGCAGGATTACGAGTTGCTTGCTGCTCGAGCACAAAGAGAATTGGCCGGAGCTGGCAATGTATGATTCTGAAATACTTTTGACATTCGCCATTTATAACATCATTGAAGATTTGGATTGGTGACCTGATTATTCATATCGATATTCAACAACTCAAACAAATTTCTACACTTTGTATGTTGGTACCACTTCAAGTTCTTGTTTGAAATACCCCTTGAATATTCTGCTAGATATTTGTATAGCTTAAGTCTAGAGAAAACATGTACATGCTCCATATGTGACTTGATAAATTGTAAGTAGCAACTCGACATCAATATGGAAATTTTTGTGGGTTGGGAAGAAATTCTGAATAATGTCACTTTCCTGATGTTTGTAATTTGATTAGCAATATGCCCACTTTACCCCAACACGTGTCAAACATAGATTGTGTTTCATCAAACTAAAGAAAAAACCCTAAATTATATACTCCATACTTAGTTTAAATCGTTTTAATTATTTGACGTGTTCTGACTTTGGCACTATTCACATAAGTTTTTTTCATATTGTTTGACGTGTTTTGCCTTTGGGCACTATTTACATAACATTTTTTTTGACTTGTGAAAAAAACATAGCTATGTGGGGTTTTGTTAGATGTGTTATAATATGAAAGTATCCATAATTTAAAATACAAACTACAGTAACAAAACTAGATTAAAGTACGGAAATGTAAAGAAAAAGAGATTAATAAACAAAACTCCTTAAAAAAAGATACATGACTTATCACTCGAATATGAACAGAACAAAAATAAAGCAAATCGAACATGACCTAAGTCACATGTTTGCATCCTCGCCCAACAAATATTGATGGTTTACTAACAATAACAAGCTGTTTACTTAAATTTGACTCTTTAACCGTACAACAAAACATTGACTTACATTGCATAGAGACCAATCACAAAATCCAAGAAAGTTGGAAACTTAACTCGTTTCACAATTATAAGAATGTTGATCTAGAGATTTTTGGTCCCAATCTTGCAATCTCAACAAAATCTATCAATTTTAGCTAAATTATGGTTTTTTAATTACATGAGATTGGCATTTCTTGGTGTTGTAACTTGGAAAATGATGTTACTTTAATGAAAAGGAAAAGGGTAGAATTATCTCTAATATGTTAGCAATCTCAACGTAACGCCATTGTTTAGGCAAAACATCTCCCTTAAACTATAGCATTGTATCATCCTCAATCTCAAACATGTATAGTTCATTGAATCTTGGGATTTTGGTATCAAGAGCATACAACGAAGAAGATTGTGTTTTTCCTTAATGCTAAAGCCATGCATGCGCGCTAGCTATATCATGAATTAAAACATGAGTATACAGATCGAATCATGTGCATGGTATACCGAGTGTACAATAGACAACCTAATATACGTACGCAATGTTTATTAAATGGTTTATCCAAATTAATTTTTCTTTTTGACAAAATCTAAATCGGCTTTTTTGATATTGTGGTTTCTTCCACTAAAGTCACAACCCTCCCCTAAACTCATGAACTCTTTTTCACTGAACCATTATAGATAAAGCTGTATACCTTAACTAACAAACATCCAAACTTTGCTTTAAATTCTTTCATATTCTAACTAACAGGACTAGGCATGACTCAAGTATTACCTAATTCGATCATTAATAAAATAATCATTCGTGAATCGAATAAGGGTGGATCGTTAAAAATCAGTGTGCAACCACACCAGTAGACAGTTACCAGATATTGTGAAGCATATTATCTTCGTTGGAAAAGCACATTTATACGATACACCAACAAACAAAATATAAATTTGTTCATGTTATATATACTTGTATATAAGCAACTTTGCATAGTTCATTAGACTTTGTTAACTGATTTGAAGGCAGTAACGTGATCAAATCATTAACGAATCAGCAACTGATATTAGCTTTAGCATTAGCAGCCAAATTTGGGACAGTGAATCAGTCAAATGGACTAGTAATTAATTTTATTAGATATGCAAATCAATCTCACTTTCACACCAAATGTAAGTTGTAATATTAATTTTAATAGATATGCAAATCAATCTCACTTTCACACCTAATGTAAGTTAAAAAATTAATTTTATATAAGCTCTTTAAGCCATGTTAAATCGAATCAATATTTAAAGATCAAAGTTAAAGTGCATTTTTTCTACTTATTTTGACTGATTTCAAACATAATATAATAGTTCAGATGATTTCGGACAAAAATATAAAAAAAGTTCCAAAGTTAAAATACACACGTTGATTATAATATACTAAACCTTTCCTTATATGAAAATCGGTCTTTTTCGAGTAAACCTATTTTTTTATTAATAAACTAGAATAGTCCTAAGCCATAAGTTATTATATTCTAAGTAGAGATCTAGAACTTTCAAGAGTTTAACTCTTTTTTATTTACTTATTTCCATATTAACAGTATATAATAATATACAATATATGAACAACTTTTGTTGTGGTTCAATTTGAATTTAAATATTATTTCAGCATAAAATTTAGAAATTACTTATTTGATGCCAACATTAATTACCAATACTAAAGAATATCATGAAGATATAAACAACGTTGTCTTATAATTAGTAAATCGAGCAACAAACCTAAGAAGACTTTAGGTTGTTCCAATTTGAGACCAACCAACAACATATCATGTGGAAAATCCTAAAATTGCAATTTGCAAGTGATTAGGATTTAGGAATACTTGTACACCAAATCTTTGAACCAGATAATGGCAAGTAGCATCAATAATTTAATAAACAATTTTTTATTTAGCATTAACAATAATTAGTTAGTTATCTCTAAAATCTGTTGCAATAATTGTGGTTTTAATTTTGTTTTTAGTTCGTATTTAATCATGTGCTGCTTACTCAAGCTAAACTCTTGATGATCGATATGAGGTAGGCCATTTTCCAACCACATATTTGTAAGTAAATTAATTCTTGTTTTGAACATATAAAGATTTGGTGGTATGTGAGATATGCTACACATCTTGTTTGTTTTAGCATAAGTATGTGTTAATCAACTATTTACATCTTAATAAAATCAATAGATATAAGATTTTTTATACTTGTAAAAAGAGACTGAATTGGAATCCCAATTCTTGCTAATTTTGATTGCATAAATATAATAACTCTTTTAAGTTGCTTTGGTCTCGTATTAGGGAAGAGATGCAAAATTGATCAAGAAGTATGAAAGCTGTTAAGAGTGATGTCAGTTAATTTAATCTATCGCCGAATTTATAATACGGAGTATCTTCTATGATCAAATCTTGTCCACAAAATTGCAAATACAATTCTCTCGTCACTTATCACTTAAAGTTTGATGAATGTGTGAAATGTATTTGTCATTATAATAATGATATATAATTTGATGGCTTGGTGCTTGTCAAACAAAAAAAATCTCCCTTGATGAAACAAGTTCATTATTGATTGGAAATATTATAGCCTCTCCTAGATGCTTTATTTGTTAACATGCAATGTGGCAAGACTTCCATCACACCTCTATGAGTTCCACATCAAATAAAAGCTTAATTTGGTTATCAATTGAAAAACAGAAAACATGTAGGCTCCATATAATTGTGAAGCTTCATTAAAGTTTAGTACCTTTCTAATTCCATGATTGTTCATCCTAATCGAAGCATCTATTTAATTCCATGTATATCTATTTCAATGCATCATAAACTCTTGTCACAAAATTTTTAGACTAGTCTTTGTCACTCTTGTCGCACGGAACCAATAATATCAAACACATAAATTAGATCAACTAGACGAAAAAAAAAAAAAAAAAGAAGGTGATTTTTACTTGAATGGGCAAAAAAGACTGATTTAAGGTGTTCGGTTTTGTATTTGATACTATCGTCTTATTCTTGTTTGTCGTCTTCCTTCCTTAAAAGATCAATTGGTGACTTAACCAATTTAAACTTCACTCTAAAAATAAGAGTCGAATATGCTCTAAGATACGCTTAATAAAAACATAAAACCTTGAATTGATTCCGTTACGAGATGAGGTAGGTTCCTTATAAATCGGATATGATTCTTCAAATCCTATCAACTAAAAGTAGCTTAACATATAATATACCCCTAATTGCCTATCTTCCATCTAATTAATGTCTAAACCATAAATAATTAATACAGCCCATTGTTTGTTTGGGCGTGTAATTCAATTATTTTTCTATAATTTTGCTATAACCATGGTGTCTATGACGTGTGTTGGGAGGTGGGACCTTATAAAATTTTGTGCAAATCCAACCAAACAAGTCCTTAAGCCCTCTAAATTATCATCTCATTGCCGGGTAATTGTTCCCTTACAACTCTACCTTTGCTTTGTTTTGTATAAACATCCTTCCTTTTTTCTATTGCCTCCTTTGCCAACTTTCTAATCTTTCTACGTAGTATTACAATTTTCCCTTTAAAATTATAAACATTAACCTCTTCTCGAAAACTACTCACAAATTTCATAGTAGTAAATTGTATTTTAAGTTTATGTCCACGTTCACCTCCCCATCTTAAAAACTACGTCGTTTTATTTTTTACACATACCCCACTTTTTTCGATACTAGTCATATTCACCTCCTCTTAGATTATCCCCTAATATATTTATTGTCAACTCATTGGCATGTAATATATATACACCACATTGTCTATCATTTTTTCAGTCAGTGGAGAAGTATCCTTCCTCCTCACATTGTTAAGTTTCTTCTTTTTCATTTTTTTTCCTTGACATCCTTTTCCTAATCACTTGAAAAAGAAAAAAAAATAAAAAATAAAAAATTTCATTAAGTCATGGCTGAAATCCAACAATTTAAGAGTGTTTCATATGTTTCTTCAAAGAGAAAGGGAAGTGGATTATCAAGGAAGTGTGCCTCTTTGGTTAAAGAACAGCGTGCTCGAATTTATATCCTAAGAAGATGTGCTACAATGCTTCTATGCTGGTATATTCAGGGCGATGAATAGAGATCCTTCATCCGAGGGTTCTGTGTTAGTGTGTTCTGATGTGATCCGGTGCATATCAATACTAGCTAAATATACGAATACGTAACTATACCTTTTTCTAGGATACGGCTGGGCTGGCTGGCTAGTAATTCCTTCTCTCTCCCTTTTTTGGCGATCTCCTCCGATTTTCTCCTGGCGGGTCGAGCTTGATTGGTCAAGCAATAGTGCAGCTTCTTTTTATCACCATCTCTTATGACATCCAAAAATTTTGACCCATATGGCAAATATATTATTGGGTTTTTTACTTTTTTGTTTTGGATGTTGTTGTTTCAGAGATTTTATGGGTGCACTACTGCTTTTTTTGGCGAACCAGCAGAATGCTGATGAGGCTTCCAAACATAACCTCGGCGTTGCTCGGAGAATCGGATTTGAGGTAGCTGAAAAGGGGATATCTATACTCACACTTGTGTTGACTGTAACTTGAAAGAGTTTTGTCCAGGGGACTAATTATAAATATATTATGTATGTTGATCAAAGTTTGGTTATATGTTTCTGATACCTTATGTTATGATATACAAAGTATATGAAGAAATTAAAATAAGCGAGGGTCTTGTATGTACTTGTAGTACTTGAACATTCCAAAGAATAATAAAGTTATATTTCATGTCAAGAATATTTGTTCCTTTAACAATATTGTTGGTTGCTCTTACGTTAATTTCTGAATAGAATGTTACAGGTTTTCCTAATACACATTACACACAATACAACTTGCATAAAATGACCAATATTGTCATTAAAGCTAAAACCTTAATTTGTTCAATAAGGTGAGAGCAGATACATGCACATTGCAGATAAGACTACAAACGACAATCAAGAGTAGGCACACACCAATCGCAAATAATTATATGTACCCGAGTGCACCATTTGATTCTTGCCTGTAATGGTGCTTGTCGCCTGTTGCCACTAGGCGATACAGACAGGTTCAAGGCCATATCCTAATTAGTTGTAACATTATTTGCATAGCTTGGTTGCAAAACCGATATTTTCGAAGCCTCAAACGAGTAATATAGAATCATTATATTCAAGTGTTTATCAGTAATGGTGCCCCAATTAAGACAGGTTTTTGTTCAGACAAACTCCAATTTGAGCCAAATTTTAAACTCAAATGCATCCCCATTGACCAAAAAAACATTGTATATTTTCTTTGCTGAATCAATTTGAGGATTGTCTCAAAGATCAATTCGAGGAAAATCAATTTCAATTACAATAATAATAGTTTCTTGAGCTCAAATCTAACAATCAAACCAATTTGACAGCAAAATTACACATAATTTGTCCAAATTAGCAAAAACGCGATCAATTTCATTGCAATCAACTACAATTTCTGATCAATTACAAGCAAAATTAATGCTCATATAAATCAAGCATATGATTCAATTACCAGCTTCAATCACAAATCAACAACAATCACACACTAAAATTAATCCAAAATTAGAAAACCCTAATTGAATTAAAACTCACTATAACCACCAGATTCAGCATCAAGAAGACCACCATAAGGATCAGAATCACCAACCGGAGCCCTAAGAACACCGTGCAAACAAACAAGCACAGCCGAAACCACAATCGAAACCAGCAAATTCATCCAAGCATGAGCAACAACAAAAGCGATGATCGTAATCACAGAAAGCACACCAACAATGACTCGATCGTCAACGACGAACCCTAGAATTTCGAGCGGAGAAGTGCGGGAGTTGAAGTAGAAGTAGTACCAGGCGATTGCGGAGGCGAAGACGAGGAGGAGAGAGAGAGGGCGAAGAGCGAGAGTAAGGAAGAGGACGATGAGGAAGATGTTGAGGTAGTTGAGTTTGAAGTGGGAGAGGTTTAAGTTGAGGCGAGTTGTGGCGTCGGAGAGGGAGACTGGGATGGAGAGAGAGTGGATGTCGAAGAATGACGGCCATGGTTGGGTGGTTGCTGCGGCGGCGTAGCCGCCGGAAGGTTGGGATGACATTATTGATTATTGTTTTGGGAATGTGGGATGAGAAGAATTTGGATCGTAGACCGGCTAAGTTTAGTTTTGTTTACAAAAAAGAATAAAAAAACACTTGGAATAGTCTTTATTTGAAACAAGTTTTTCTAATATCGTTGCAATTTGAAAACTAAAAGAATAATTTGCCACGTTTTGTTTGTCCGATCAAGAATTAAAGGAATTGCGTTCTTGTCTTGATCATGTTAATTGAGAGGGTGAGATGATGCTGGATTGAGGGTGGAGGACGATGGAAGATAGGAGAAGAGGAGGGAAAACAACGCTTGTAGGGGCGGATGCTATGGTGGGGGTGCTTAGATGCCGAGGATCTAGTTGTATATACAATTGTATAAAATAAAATTTTAGTTAGTATAACCTAAGTTGAGATAAGTACCATGTAAGGTTGAGGTGATGGAATTGTGACATCGTTCCATACATTGTATCTTTGAGGTCGAGGGATCAAATTTTATGTAACTCATTTATCAGAGGTTGAACTTAGAGTGTTAATACTAATAAGAGTAACAACTATTGAATTAGTATACTAAATTAGCATGACTCAACTATAAAATTAGATCCAACTCAAATACCCGAATTGACACCTCTAGTTTTGAACATTAGTAGTTGAAGACTTAAAGTCGTGATTTAAAAAGCTCAAAAATAGAAACGTTGCAACACATTTTTTAACTAATGAAAGAATAAGTAACAATAACAAGCGTGAAATTGGAAACATCACAACTCACAAACTTGCAAGAGTTGCAACTATTTCAAAATGAATAAAATAATAATTAACAAAGCCCAATATCCTGAAAGATTTCATTTTGCTTAATCTTTTGCAAATTACACCTTAATAAAATGATTACTCAATACAATCTTTTTTTTAAAATATAACGTCCACATCCTTCTTATTAAAGAAGAAACCCAAAATTTCAGACATCACTGAAATCTGGCCCAGATTGAGGTAGAGCATCAAGCAAGCCATCATAAGTAGGAGCTCTAAGAAAGGCGTGCAAGCAGACAATAACAATGGAAATTAAAACAGACAGCAGTAGATTAATCCAGGCATGCCCAATGCCGAAGGCTAGAACAGTAATACCAACAAGCACTCCAATGATGATCCAAAGGTTGAAGACGAAGACAATGCACCCAAAGACACGTAGTTGGAGAGGGTAACGTGGGGTCACGTATAAGTACACACAAGCGTAATTAATAATTAGATAGAAGAAGAAGATATTGAAAGGGAGTCGGCAAGGGGTGAAGCTTAGAAAGAGGTAGAAGATTGGGAAGACCAAGTTTATGTAGTTGAGATCGAAGTGAGTTATGTTTTGGATTAGTCGAGTTGTGGCTTCATGGAAAGAGACGGGAAGGGAGAATGCGTGGATGTCAAAGAATTCCAGCCATGGTGCTATTTTAGCTGGTGAGACGACAGAGTTATCGTTGGCTGCTTGCGACAAAGGTGTCATTAAGAAATTGGATTCTGGTGGCAGGATCAATGAAGGGTATTGGGCTGGTATTGGAGAGGATGAGAAGTAGTACTCCATTTGGTGTACTTATATACTGAACTCTTTTGACTATGTCAGTGCTGCTTTCATTTCAATATTCAAGATATGACACATTCAAAGAGTTGATTACCTGTGGCCCAAATATAAAATTTTATTAGGTGTATGCTGTGGGGATCTGCAATTGTCTGCATCTTTACTATACTGGATTGTGCTGTTGCTGGCTTGCAGATGTGCTTCAAATTGCAACCTGTCTAGAGCTTCAGAAAACAATACGAGGATAGATTGCCAAGATCCTTATTTCATATACTAATTTATCGATAACCAGATGCTGGAACGAAAAAAAAAAAATTCCATCAAAAGAGTATTCAGAAACATGCAGATACTTTCTGGACTTTGAATTCATAATACCAGATTTTCAGTTCAAGTGGAGAAGCAGATCAAAAGGTATTTTCTACGGAGTAGTTTAAAATTCACACAAAAGAGATAAGTAATGACTAGTCAATTTCAAAATTCAAGAGATAGCTAACCACAAGAGTTTGCATCTAAAAGACACTCGGTATTCATAAGATTTAAAATAAAATGGATGCAGCTTTACAACCAAAATGCTAACTCTACCAAGAACATGAACATCAAGCAGGGCCTTGGTGGCATATAACATATCATTTAAATTAAAAGGATGTTGCACCAAATAGGCAATTACATACCTCAATTAGTCAACCACAAGTTTTCTTCGCTTGTATCTAACCATCACCTTCCCCTTTACGCCCACCACCATTGCATTCCAGTCAATCTCTGGGAATGGAGATATTAGCTCAAATTCAAAATTTCTCAACAAATGGCTCCAAATTGCCTTTATTTGCAAATAAGCAAAAGGCTCTCCAAGGCAGCCATGCCTCCCCCCTCCAAAAGAGATGTATGAGAATTGCCCTGCTAACTTATCTTCATCCCTTCCGGGGGCAAAACGCTCAGGATTATAACTGTCTGGATCTTTGTATATATGTGGGAGACGGTTTGCGAATGCTGGTGAGGTGGCAATAATATGACCCTTTGGGACTTCATATTCCATACCATCTCGTGTAGTCACATTGAAATCACTGTGTGATTGGCGCAACAACATAATCAGCGGAGGATGAAGTCGAAGTGCTTCCTTGATGCAGCGATGCAAGACATCCATTTCAGATAAAACATCATGGTCTACATTTTGTCCATGCTTCTTCATCACAGTTTTCTGTTCTTCAACCACAGCTGAAAAGAATTCTTTATAACGAAGAAGATATGCTCCAGTCCACGTAGATGTAATGGAGCTGGTATGTTGGCCAGCAAATAGTGCAGCAATCAACAGACCTGTGACTTCTTCCTCTGTAGTAGGCCGACCGTCTTTATACTTTGATTCAATAAAGCACTGCAACATGTCATTCTCACACTTTCCAGAGGATTTACGGGAGCATATAATGCGTGAAAAAATTTCTGCGAGCTTCTTACGGGCTCTATCACGGCGGCGATGAGCCGGGATGGGCAGGTATGGAAACATAACACTAATGGGTAGCATCCCATTATCAAGATCGTGAAATAGGGCAGACACATCGTCAAAGAGCTTGTCACGGACTTCCTGACCCAGGAGACATCTACTGGCAGTCAAGATAATAAGATGCTCCAGCTCGTATTTCAAATCAACCTCTCCAGAATCTCCCCACTTGGAAAAGTATTCCTGCATATTCAAACAAAAATTTATAATTTTCACATAAGCAGTATACAAGGTTAGGGTCAAGACCAGCAAATTAAAATGAATGCTCATATAATACACCAAGTAATCAAGTATATTGGATAACAGGTAAGATTGTAGTACTTGGTATTTTATAAGGATGATCATACCACAAGTCTACAATATCAAACACAATAGGAGAGGATTATGAAATTCCTTGCTAAAGGATGACAGCAAAGATCATACCACAAAAAAAATAAAAAAAATGTGAATGTAAACTTCCCAAAAACAAGTAAAATTCCATCTTCCACCAACAAAATTCATTCAGCTTATAAGATATAGACTACATAGAGAGAAGAAGACCTGAGCTTCCATAACCATGTGATCAACATAACTCTTGAGCTTATTGGCTCGAAGAGCCTCAGTGAAGAAGCGGAACTGCTCCTGGCGGATGGAATAGTCTACATCAAAGACAACACCGGGTCCAAAAGTAGGGACATTGAAGCGATAGACCTCCTGCTGACTGAGATCAGTCTCAGGTGCCTTGAAGAAATGAGCAGACACTTCAGGACCAATCAAGAAGGTAATATTCTTATTGACCAGATTTAAGGTGAATACACTTCCAAGCTTTGGGTACTCCTCCCTCAGCATGATAATGGGGCCCTTAAGGAAGCGAATAAGGCCACCAATAACTGGAGGGAAGGCCTTAATCACAGGAGGAAGGCGTTTTCCAGACTTTAGCATAATGAGCGCTGATATCAATTTAGCAGCAACAAGGGTTGCCACAATGAGTAGCCCCACATATAAGAACTTATTGTCCAGGACTTCCATCTCCATGCTTGTGCTAACTCCCTGAAGAATCATGTGAAAATACTTAACCAAACAAATATCAAGTACCCGTTTCAGGTATAAAATATAAATACACAAAAGCAACACTTGCACAGAATTTTCTAGTTTCAAAGGACTAGAAAATATAAAAAGTCCACAAAGTTCTGTACTAAATTTCTCAAAATCCCACACGCCATTCTCAACCCCTGCTACTTCTCCAACATACAAACACGGCAGTGTCCATAGGTCTCGAATAAGACAAGTGTATCATATACAACATGCTTAGTTACACAAATTACGTAAAGGCTACTCCTTTGCAAATATGACTATGAGGTGAATGGTGTCACTAAACAAATTTGTATACAAATTTCTGTAAAAACTCAAAGTCAATTCCCCCCCCCCCCCCCAACAAAAAAAACACCAACCATGTATTAACAGTTCTTAGTCATTTGCTTACACAAGAAAAAAGGTGGATGTCCGTTAGCTTAGTTAAATACTCGAGGGTGTTAATCATAATCAAACCTCGTCTACATCAATGCCATTTGTAGCTCTATCTACACCAAAGATACTTAGATGAAACCAAGCTACACACCCTTCTCCCAAACAATAATTATTCATATACTTTATACTTTGGATGCGAAACCATTAAATTCAATGAAATCTAATGACATTGCAGTTTAGCTCGTGGGCTGGATTAGACTCGAAAATTGCAATACATCAGCAAATTTTGGCTCAATTATTAAATTAGAGTCCGAAAATCACATAAAATTCCTGTCAATTAATAGTAACAACGTAAATGTAGCAACAAAATCAATTATTGCAAGCTTTCATAACTTCAGAAATCATAACCAATTGTTTGATAATCCGACTTGAATATAAATATTTGGATGTTAATAAAATGGAAGATTCAAAAAAAGAAGTTGAGAAATAATAACCAACAAGAACTCTAAATTGAATATAATAGTACTAGCAATTAAATTAACGAAAGGGTAAAATTAAACCCTAAAATTGTGAAATAAATATTAGGAAGATTAATAAAAAGGAACAATAATCATACCTGAGAAGCTCCTTGAATGCAGGAGAGAGCTCATAAGCCACTTCAAGTAGGAGAGAGAAAAAAAGAAAAGAAAAAAAAATCTAATGTGGACAAGTACGGTATTGGGCTTCAAATTGAAAATGGGCTGAAGGGACCTACTACCCCATTACTTTATTTAATCGAAAACGAATGCGGACAAAACCTTCCCATTCATCTCCTCCACAACGCCCAAAACAACACCCACCACCATTTTCTCTCTCCTCCATCACTACCACCTAACGCCATTCTTACCACTTTCAATATCCTAACTCACACCGACTTCGCAAATGAAAGGGTATAATCTTAATTTCAGGAATATTATCTCTTTTTTTTTAATATATAAATCTATTCAAAAAAACCAGAAATTTTTACGATCTTATTTAACTCCAAATTCTTATGGTTGATCTTGCAATTTTTTTAATTTCAATTGTTTTATACTACAAATTAAGTTTTTAAAATGATGGTGTTTGTGAAGATTTCCGATTAAATTGATGGTGTTCGAAAAATTAAAACTCTGAAGAAGGGAGGAGGGTGAACTTTGCCTTTGTTTTTGCTTTTGTTGAGCTTCATGGTTCGTAAATTGATGGTTCGTAATTTCAAGGGCAAATAACTTATTAAAATTTCAAGGGCAAATAAGTAATTTCAATATCCTAAACCCTAAACCCTAACCCTAAACCCTTAACCCTTAACCCTAAACCCTAACCCTAACCCTTAACCCTAAACCCTAACCCTAAACCTTACCCTAAATCCTAACCCTAAACCCTTAACCCTAAACCCTTAGCCCTAACCCTTAACCCTAACCCTTAACCCTAAACCCTTACCCTAAACCCTTAACCCTTTAACCTTAAACCTTAAACCCTAACCCTAAACCCCAAACCCTAAACCTCATATATAGGAACTCTAAGTATACCATGCAAGCAAGCAAACAAAACAACCGTTGTGAAAATTACAAGAAAGTACACCATATAAATCCATGGGCGCCCAAGACCGAATGATAATAATTGTACAACAATGAGCAGTACAAGGAGTTTAGGGCTGAGATTGTATAAGGAGTGATGACCTTTTTTTACTTTCTTCTAGAGCTACATTAGGAGAAATATAATTCAACTTTCCTAATATTTAGGAAGTGCATTTGTACATTTGTAGACTAGTACCATAGTAGTATGCAACACTACTAGTCATTTATCTTGACCTAATGCTTTATCAACAATGAGCTAGTTAAACAGCAGCCATATTAGAATATGATTATTCTTATTTGTTAGTTGACTTGTACTAGTAGTACATTTGAAAATTTGAAGTTCTTATTTGATCAAACTTGTTCATAATAAATATAATTATGTGGTTGGCTATATTAGCTTGCTGTCAAGAGCAGTCCATGACCATTTCTATGTTCCAATTTTTTTGAAGAAAACATTAAGCCGGAGATTGAGATATTTATAACAACTCTCTCTGTTCCTTTGTGTTTGTATCATATATGATATATAACGTTATAAAACTCTCACATAAAGTGGGACCATGGTGCAAATAAAAGGGGTCAAAGGAAGTAATAGTTGTAAGACTCAACAAGTGGAATATAATTATAAGTATGAGTATTAATGAAGAGTTATTAATGGTACTTGAACTATACACCTTTAAAATGATACAATACATGTTATTATCATTCTCCTTATTACACGCAATACTCTAAAATGAAGGGTATCATTCATTCATCGATGAATCAAAAGGATTTGGTGCTAAAGAACACCATATATATTATACTATTATTAATTAATAATAGTAGCTTTGAATTTTAAAAGTCAAATTTTAATTTGGGTCAAACACTCAAACTAAGCCATGTTTACATCACCTTATTTTTGCATAATTGAAATTATTTTTAATGAACTAAAATTATATATTTTGCTAAACTTAAGTTATTTTTTTGGGTTTTTTTTTACCAAAAAAACAAAACCAAAAAATTGTTTTTTTACATACCACATGTCGTAAAAAAAACCGGTAAACCTAACGGAATTTTGTAAATTCTTTGATTTTTGTGTCAAAAACATGTTCTTTAGGGATTTATGGGGGTTATTTTGGTCCTTTGAACTCAATGGAAAAAAAATGATCGAAAATGGCTCGTTTTTACTACTAAAAAATACCTCCATTTGCATGAAACACGCAAAACGAGCCATTTTGATCATTTTTTGTCGATTTTGACCTCAAATTGGATGTACAGGGCCAAAATGCCCCCAAAATCTATAGAAAACATGTTTTACACTCGAAAAATCGATGATTTTATTTTAACCGTTAGATTTAACGGTTTTCTTGAAGGTAGGTGGTAAAAAATAATTTTAGAATTTTTTTTGGTGGTACAAAACAATTTCTTGTTTTTTTAGTGATAAAAGTCAAAAAAAAAAATTATTAAATTGAAATTATTTTTACTGATTCTCTATTATAAATCTACGTTAGAATTACTAATTTTTACTGAACATAAATTACTTTTACTGAACTGAACTTATATATTTTTGCTGAATATTATTTTTGTAAATTGAACTGAAGAGGACCTTACATATGTGGTTTGGCTATATTAGCTTGTTGTCAACCTTAGTTCATGACCTTTTTAATTTCTATATTCCATATTTTCTGAAGAAAACATAAGTATGAACCCCCAATGCGTTTAGAAGTATGAAAAAGCGGAACAAGTAATAACAAATTAACAATGAAATACAGCTACGACGCCAAATTAACCTCTTTAATTTGGTTATTTTACATGAACTTTGAATTATACTGAGAGTAATTACTTACCCAAACATGCAGATGATCTAGCCCAAATCATACTCCAATACAATATATAGTTGTACATCTTACAAGGAGCGACTTAATTTCTATTTCCCAAAACATTAAACATCAACCTGTGGAGGTTGATGAGATTGAAGTTGTGCGTCAAGTAAACCTTGATATTGATCATAAACGGGAACTCTAAGCATACCGTGCAAGCAAACAACCGTGGCGAAAGTCACAAGCAAGCACACCGGATAAGTCCATGGAAGCCCAAGCCACACTAATGAATAAGTGGCCATTACAACATATATATATACAAGTAAAATACTAGAGGATTTTAGGTGAGGCCGCTCAAGATTGGAAGGTTCTGGATGAAAGTACCTCTCGTAGAAGAAACGGGACGCTAAAAAAGCGGCCAATACGATATAGATATACACGATTGGGGTTGTGATGAAGGCTACGTAGAAGACGGTGATGTTGAAAATGAGGAGTAAGTAGTTGACATGGAAGTGAGTTAAGTTTTGTTGCAGCCGACTTGCGGCGTCGAGGGGAGAGGCTGGAAGAGAGAATGAATGGCTGTCCCAAAATTCCCGCCATGATGGATAAACTGGTGCTACGACCACTTTTGTTGTGTCACTGGATGCCTCCGGTGTTGACGACGGCGACATTGTTCAGTCAAAATCTTTATTAGAAATTTCCCGATATCTAGGAAGTGTATTGTTTTGTATATTTTTCTTTTTTTAGGAAAAGTGTATTGTTTTGTACATGTACAGCTACTTTGGGTTCTCTTGACTAATGCTGTCAACAATGAGCTTCGTAAGCCTTGAGCACACCATGTTAGACAAGTATTATTAATTGGAAGACTTGTTGTACATTTGAAATTTTGATTGCCTTAATTTGGTCAAACTTGAACTACGTTGTTAATTATGTACTTTGTATGTACGTTGTTTGGCTATATTTGCTTGACTTACAGTTTTTATACTCATATTAAGGAAATTTTCACTTTTTCTATTACTCAAACACCCCTATTTCACTTTTGTTATCCAAGTAAAATTTTATTTTGCTACCATCAAAAGTTACAGCATATAACTTTTGCTACCACTTAACATAAACCGTTAGGATTCCGTTAAGTGGGGGCCCATTATCTCATTAAATAATGATTTAATATATTAAAAAAACAAATAAAGACTTAAAAAAAATAAAAAGCTTTAAAAAAAATAAAAAAAATCTCAGCCACTCCATCCCGTTAGCCACCCCTTCCCCCTCCCCGTGTTGGATGCCGGCAACCTCATCCCCCGGCACCGGCGACCCCATCTCCCTCCCTTTCCCCCACCCACGTTGCCCACCTCCCTCCTCAAATGCCTCCTTCAATTCCTTTCAACCCATCTTCTCACTCTCTTTCTCTCTTCCCCTCAATTTCACTTTATGCCCTCCCCTCTTTTCGCCTTCACTAGCAATTTCCCGACGCCGAAAACCATGTTTCTTCCCCCACCCAAAACCGGCACCGTACCCCTAAACCTAAACCGGCACCGTACCCCTAAACCTAAACGAACATCACCTTTAAAACCACCCTAAACGAATTTTAGGGCTTCATTTTTACCCTTTTAGGGTGGTTTCGGGGAGGGTTAAGAGACGCTGTCTTAGTATTAGGAATAGCGAGTATCCGCAGAAGTTAATGCAACTGAACCCTTCGCCACTCCATTTTGTGTGACTGACCAACCTAGTGAATCTCGAATTTCATATTGAAAAAGGAGGAGGTACATCAAGGCAAAAGTCGAATCAAGCAAAGATCCTCTGGCATTAGCTAGCTAGTAGCTGCTTTCCTGGGACTTCCTCGCTTTTCACTGCTTAACATCTTTGGGAAAATAATTGTTAAGTTTTACATTGTTTTCAAACAAGAAAGCACTTAAATAAAGTGTGGGAACAAAACCTAGATAATGTGATTACAATAACAAAATAATGTAATTAATCAAATACAACAAAAGTATTACAATCAAGTATTATATATCTATGTAACTACTGAAAATTACAAAGACTACACTAATGTGAAGATAATCAAACTTGCCTTAACTCCAAACCGATCAAAGTGAGCAATTAAACACAATAGAATAACCACCCTCTCCAGTGATGAGATCCATTTAATGCAAGCAATTAAAAAGTTATTGGGTCTTACCAGTAAGAACACTAGTGTAAACTCTATAAAGATTCACAAGTTAATAAGTTAATCAAGAGAGGACATTTGAACATTAAACACACTCCAATTAATAAGTTAATCGAGAGAGGACATTTGAATCTTGTGTTCTCTACCTAGCCTCACTGAATTGACATAATCCCTAGGGCTATGAGCAGAAATACCTGGTAGAACTAATCCTACAACCCTCACGAAAACCGAACACCAGTCCTCTTTATAATCTGTTCCATACACATAACGCATTGTCAAGGCCCTGATCAACTCCCACACAGCATTCATGTGTGCCGGAATTAGGTACCTCATCCCGTAAAAGTTTTTGTTCGGCTCCTCTTTCACTTGCTTCAAATTCATGCATGCCAAAATAAAGCATCAGATATAATTTTTTCATAAAAAGATCGAGATTATGAAGTAGGGTGTGTTGTATGTACCTGTTTAGTGTAAAAACTGTCATAGTAGAGGCTGTTGAGCCTTTTGGTTTTGATGGACAAATTGACAAACTCGACTAATGAATGTTTTGAGTCTTTGGTGAATAAAGGATTCAAGCAAAGTTCGTTCCGGAGTAGGAACTTGGATGCGGAGTAGCATTCTCTAAAAAGCCTCGTGCAAATCTCACGTTCTAGTTTTAATTGTGAGCACTCAATATTATAAAGTCGGAAAGGAACTCAATGACTTATGTTAAAAAGACTACTGGAATAAAA